AGTTATAATTACTGAAATATAGGGTGTGAAAAATCGAGATTTTCCAAGTTCAAGAATTTTTTGTGTCGAAACTATTCATAATTGGTCAAAACGGCTTACATGTCCCTATCTCAACTTTTGATTAACTATCTACTGATATTTAATTGGGACATATACCGGGTGATCAAGATTCTGAATTCTGCACCACCCTGTATTTGTTTCAATTAAATGTCAGTAGATAGTTGATCAAAAGTTGAGATAGGGACATGTGAGCCGTTTTGACCAATTATGGATGGTTTAGACACAAAAAATTCTTGGACTTGGAAAATCTCTATTTCTCACACCCTATACCTCAGTAATTATAACTGCTAGACCCTCGGCTAGACCCCAAGTATGATGAAGTGTTGAAATCAGCTTTCAAGGGAGAATCTCAAAATGAAATAATATATAGGGTGTTCGATAGAAAAAAGTTTAACTTCAGTGTTTTATGGTTTTTGGGGACACCCTGTATGTTTCGAAATAATTTTGAATGGTAGCCTATGTTGACATGCAAATCCCAATAACTCGAAAACTGTTGCTCGCAGAAGAATATGTTTTTTACACGAACGTGTTCTAGAAAACTATTTTCCTACTATAGAACGTGATACAGGTACGCACAAAAAATTTGTGACTTTTCAAAAGACTCAAAAGACATGTAGGTGCCGCCACCCTCACGAAAAAGATGAACCAACATAAAATTTGATATTGTCATCGAAAAATACCCCGAAATACCAAAATTCATTTGAATATCACAATTATTTTGAAATTTATTAACAAAAAACAAAAATAAGAATTCAACTTTGACACTCTGTATCTCAGAAACAAATAACTTTCGGACATATATTTATACGAACTTTTCTTCTTATTTTGACGTCAGCAACATGCTCCTGGATTTTCTACACGTACTTGAGAAACACCTTGTATAGAGGAAGTGAATTTTTGGAATATCTATTTGTTTTTCTACGTTATTATTAGATATATAGAAAACTCTAAAAATACTTTTACATGGCATCTCTTGATGAGATTTAACGTGGTGATATTGATTTCTCCACGCGACGTTTCGTATTCGTAGAGAAATCGAACAACTTTTTTTCCAAATACGGCCCTGATTATCTGTTCACAGATTTCGAAAGTTTTTTTATTCTACGCCTAGCATGGAATGATATTCATCATAATTTCGATCATTATCATGATATGGGTTTTATTGCTTGATAAAGCTATGTCAACGTAGGTACAAAATTTTCCAGAGCCGTTAGGCGCCCAAACTGAGCAATTTTATACATAGGTAGGTAGATTTGATATAATTCAATTGTTGTGGTCTGAGGAATATGTGGTATTTTTTGTATAGACCTTTTAGGCACACCCTGTATGGTATTTCAAAGTGTTCAATGAAATTGATTAACATTTACATTTTGTGTCGGCCCCATATTGGATTTCAAGTGTGTCATATGGTTTTTGTATTCTACTTGTCATTCTCTCTTATTTGGTACCCATGTCGAGGGAATTGTGAACGAATTCAGTAGTTATTTACCAAACAAGTGCGAAAAGTAGTACTTTACCGCATGCGACGGCTATTGCACGAACGACGCGGGGCGGAGCAAGCAAGTTTTTAGTTACATATCCCCATTTTCAACAATACAAAAATCGTGGCGAAAAGTAACTTTTCAGCACTAGTGGGGTAAAGTACCTTTTCCGCACGCTCGTATAAAAAGGAAATATTTTTGTCGGCGGCCATATTGGATTTCAAGCTTTGTTGTAAATTGTATTCTACTTTATAATAACCGTATTGAATCTGATAATACCCATATTGACCAGACCCAAAGATATGTGTAAAATTTCAGCATGATTGGATATCGGGAAGTCGTCGAAAAATCGATCGCCAGACAGAACTCAAAATGTTCAATAAAAAATTAATTTTTCTCGATCTTCTCATCTTTCCGAATAATTAACAGGATTCCAACGGGAAACCTTGAAGAGAATGAAAATTCGACTGACTAACATATGATATTCTAAGTGGGACAAAATAAATCAACAAAGTAGGTCTTGAAGCAAAATACTGTGCAGTCCATATATGTTTTCTTTGCGCAAAATTCATTTTTCTACTCCTTACTCGGTAAGTACTTCATTTTGATACTGATTTGAGGGAGGAAAACACGTTCTACCTCCCTAGGGAGGTAAGTAAATATTTACCTCCCTAGGGAAACAAGTTAAATAAACTTCATAATTTAACCTAAAAATTGAACTCTTTATTTTAAATTTGGAAATGGTCTACATTGTCTTGAATGGATAACGTCGATTTTAGCATCGAATACTCACTCCATAAACTTGCAGGGGACTTTAGGGTCTGTGACTTCTCTACAAAATACGCCAGCAAAGAGTTCTCGGTAATGCTTTCACCACTTGCAATATTACTGCACCAAGCCTTGAAGTCCTTGTAACACCGATTGTACCGTTCCTTCGATTTCTGAGGTAATAGAGCAGCACAAGCTGCATTCGCAACTGCATCGATATCCATTATTTCGATTTTTTAATAAAATGACACTGACAGAACATTTGTTTGATTATAAACAATATGAATTCCATAGCGATCAATGTGTAACACTAGGAAACCTGTCATACATACAGGGTTTTTCAGTTAGATTAGTCAAATTATATGTATAAGTAATTGAAAAACATTTTTTTTATTCTAAGGAAACTGGAGTAGAAAAAATATAATACAAAACTCGGGAGGCAGTGTTCTTGACCAGTCTCGGACTATTTTGCAAGCCCTCGCTATCGCTCGGGCGCAAACAATGTCCTCGACTGGTAAGTATCACTTGCCTCCCTTGTAGTGTAAATAACTATTTCATATCTGAACATCGTTGAGAAATTTGACTTCAATTTTCTAAAAATTGCTGGGACTACCAAGTTATTCACAAAGAATACCCAAAGAATTCTCGAACTTCCCAAAGAATTCCTCGGACTTCCCAAAGAATACCCGGACTTCCTCTAGAATTCCCGGACTTCCCAAGGAATTCCTGGACTTCCCAAGGAATTCCCGGACTTCCCAAGGAATTCCTGGACTTCCCAAGGAATTCCCGGACTTCCCAAGGAATTCCCGGACTTCCCAAGGAATTCCCAAAGAATTCCCGGACTTCCCAAAGAATTCCCAGACTTCCCAAGGAATTCCCGTCTAGGGTACACCGGACTTCCCATGTGATTTACCCCTCGGTCTCCATTATCGAGTCCATGATGAAAGGCTGAATATCTTCTTCTTATTATTCTCCTCTATCTACCGTAAGAAAGATCCAGGACATCTTCACAGGGGACACATCTAATGAACACAACCGCAAATAGTGGAACATACTATTGATATGCACTTCAATGTAATATTTTTTGGACCAACAGAATCCTTTCTGTGGTGGTGATCGGTACAAGAAGACAAGGTTGTTTCTTTGCCATCCATATTCTTTAGGGTCCTTTTCATCAACGCGTCAGCTGTGATTTGAACAAGTGGTATTATACCCGCCATTACTGTTGGTGCTCCAGCAATTGGTGGTGAACAGGCCAGCTTGGATTCACCTTTGGTAATTGCAAGAAAAATTTATATCGATAAATATTCAAAAGTTTTCATCGAATCGGTTTCATATGAGTTCTCCTACTTCGGACATTGTATCACGTTTAGTATTTTCATAGTCATTTTCATTTTGGAAAACATTCAGTAATTTCGGTCAATTTCAATCTCAATTCTGAGTCAGGATTCAGTCGAATTATATATGTTGTATTTATACAAACACCAGGTGTTAAAATGGTGAAAACCTTCCACATGAATTAGTTGTCGCGAAGGGTAGAAGAATAATCCACGCTTTGCGTGAGAGCTTAGCATATTCTTTTATTTCCTATCTAGCTGCCCGAAAATCAAAGCAATTAAAGACAAAATTTTATTTGAAATCATCTTGGAGCTTCTCATCTGCGGACATTTCTAGCACTGACTGATCCAGTCTTCAGTATTACCAATATTCAATGTCATTGTCATCAGTGGTAGGTACAACTTATAACCTTCAATCAACGAGTAAAATTTTCTGTACAATGTATGAATGATTATAATACTGAATTATCATATTTTGATGCTTATACCATCATTGTATATACATTCATTTTCGTTAGAGTTTAAATTTTGTCCCATGAGAACTAATAATTGTTTGAGTTTCTTCTTCTTCTTCTCCTTGGTTCAATTGGCCTTTTCCTTCTAGAAAGTTTGCCTGGTCTGAGGAGTCCTCATGCCTCTGATTTTGTAGTTAGTATTTGTTATTTTGTCATAATCTGCGAGACATAACCTCATTGCTGGCTGTCATGCTGTCATTGCTGTCTACACCAGTGTGGCTCGGGTCTATACACCGTCGTGACTTGGCACTCTGATGTATTTCTGGTTGCATGGTTACGAGGTGCGTGGTAGCTCCCGAATGTCTCGACCTGTCGACCAAACTCTCGACAACGAGGGAAACTTCGAATTCAATATGAAACATGAATTCCAAATCGTATCAATTTCAATTTTTGTTCTCCGGAAAAAAAATAATGATTTATTTACCGAATGATAAGTTGGTAGGTTGATTTTAAGATATTTTGATAAAAGACATAATAACAAATTATATTAAAAATAATTTTCAAACTATATATTTATAGTCGTAGGAAAAATAGTGTACATAACTCGTTGGAAAGTCTATTTCATGCACTCGTTACATTTCCGCACTCGTCGCCACGGGTCGTCGTGCTAAATATCATCATTCGTGTTGAATATGTCACTTTACACACTAGTTTTATAATATACTATTTCATAACAATTTCAACTTTTCGTTTTTTGATATCTGACGAAAATACTCGCAAACATAATACAAAGTGAACAACAATTGCTTTTCCATGACGATCCTGCAACAACAGATCATATCGAGTACATCAACTTCCCATCTGCCCGAACCGAAAAACTAAACCCGCACTAATTTTAGCTCCCGCTTCAGCACCCAACACCAACGGCACCACCTCCAGCTCCCCTCTCAACAGGACGGGCTCCCCCCCGGAGGCCAGCGCCGGAAATGCCTCCGTCGCCGCCGCGCAGCAGCAGCCGCAGGGGCAGCAGTCGACGGGCGGGTCGGGGCAGAGCCCAATGGCCGCCCTCATGTCGGTCGCGGATAACTTGCCGCCGGGCAGCCCGAGGTCGACGGGCGGCAGTCCGCCCACCAACGTGGCGCCTCGGTCGGCGTCCAGAGGGTCGCAGCATTCGCCGAATTCCACCGGTGAGTAATTAAAGAAGAACCAGATCGATTTAGTTATATGAAGTTGGCGACTACTTTTTTGAAAAACTGAATTTTTATCGGAGTTCTGGGTAGATACGATAGAGTTCTGGAGTTCCTGAAAGGGAACAGAGAACTCGACTGGTTCTACCCAGAACTCCTCTATTGCCTCTCCATTCCAAATCGTTCACAAAACATTTTTTTCCAACCGGTCCCTCGTTTCCGTTTATAAAAACTAGAGTTTTGATTTTAGAGAAAAAAGTTATCAAGATAGTATGTAGAACTCGACTGGTGCTACCCAGAACTCCGATCCGAACTTTGGAAAGTGGTGGATGCTACATGAGCGTATGAATGTCCCTATTAAAAATAGGAATAACTTTGTTATTTCGCCGGAACTATCGCTGAAATATATCAGGAACTCCAGAACTCTTTCAAATACGTCGAAATTTCTCATCAGAATTCTTTTCTGTGAAAAAATCGGCGCCGCGTGAGGTTAGCAACCACAATTTTGTTTTTCGGTTATTTTCTACTATTAACCAGAACTATTGAAATTTTTTGTCAGGAACTCCAGAACTCTATCGTATCTAACCAGAACTCTGATAAAAATCTAGTTTTTCAAAAAAGTCGGTGCCAACTTCACATAAGTAGCGTTGGGCATGTAACCCAGAGATTGTGAGTTCGAATCTCACATGGAGTGTTTTCTTTTTCCATTGTCACTCGAAATTAGGGCTTCCCATCTTCATCATTATATGTATCTTTTCGGTTGAGTAACCGACAAAAATTATGACTGACTCCTACGAACCATATTTGACGAGAATACTTCCTCAGCAGGTTCGTCGAGCGGCCGACGGTCCTCCGGCTCCCGCCACGTCTCCTCCACCACGGTGACCTCGACGGAGGCGGGGGCGGGCCCTCTGCCCGGCCAGACCGCCAACGAGGTGCTGGCCAACTGCGAGAGCGCCGCTGCCACCCCCGCCGCCGCCGCCACCCTCAAGTGCACGCTGTGCCAGGAGCGGCTGGAGGACACGCACTTCGTGCAGTGCCCCTCCGTGCCTCATCACAAGTTCTGCTTTCCCTGCAGCAGGGGCAGCATCAAGCGGCAGGGGGCAGGGTCAGAGGTGAGTCGTACGCGAGAATTTTTTTTTTGTTACGTAATCACTTTTATACTTTGCCCTGAATAAGGGAATGTACCGACTAAATAACTCAGTGGAGTCGGGGATGGGTATCAAACAATATTCTGGTTTTGTTTACCTACTCAATTATAATCTTTAAACTTGATGAGCGGGCGCCAAGTGATTTAATGTTATTGAACCCCCTTTGAAAGAAAACAACTAAAATCACTAAACTATGTGTATAATGGAAACTTCTTCGTCAATATATTAATATGTCTTTCTTTCCTGTGCGTTTCGTTACCAACAATACTCAGCCCTGATGAAAAACGCCTGAAATATTGCCATTAAAAACAGCGGGTCCTAGTGTGAATCATTCAACAACAATACTCACCTTCAGAGCGATAAACCCAATGCAATCTAAAGGCGTTCAAACAGAATCCCTCCAAACAACAAATCCAAAATTATGTAAGATGATGGTCCAGTCAAACCATAAACCAAAAACACATCATTCCAAAAACAACGAAAGGCTGTTTTTAACGAATTTTCGATCGAAGTTCTGTTGTTCACATTATTTATAAAATTCAATTTCCTTCTGTCTCAATACCAGAAGTTTGAAGAACCGAGCACCTACGATACTTTTTTTGTCTAGCCACTTACAAAAACTACAACTACAATAAAAACGACCCATAGTCGTGTCTGCTGATAGTATAGCAGGAGTGAGTTTAATTGAGAAACTGAATCTATTGTAAACCTAATCATACCCACTGTTATGCCAGAACCCGATTTAATCACGTAACAATTTATTCATTTATTTACCAAAAGCTAATATACAAGTCGATGTAATATAAAAACAGTCATAAGATCCAAACAAACAAGGAACATTTAGACACTTAATTGACAAACTTAAGATCAACACAAAAGGTACAATAAAAATACAGGACATTAAATAAACAATTTAAAATCTTCAGAAGTTTGAGTTGGTTCTTCACGTCAGATGGCAAGTCATTATATTATTCCAATCCTTTAAAAAAAACGGGATTTTCTGCCAATTGTTTCCTCCTCGGTAAATTAAAAAAGTGTCTGGTGTTATGATGATGCATTTCTTTATTATAAGTCAGCTTATTTACCAAATAATTTGGTGCTTCACCTCTTTGTATTTCAAAAACAAATACCAATACCAAAAATTCAAAATAATCCTCAATAGGCAGCCAATTCAAACTTTTTAACATATCTTTTATGGGTGTGTACTTATACTACTTATTACATGCTAATATAATATGCATTGCTCTGTTTTGCAATTTTTGTATTCTATTAAAATCATTCTGATTCTGAAGATATAGAATTGTTGAACAAAAATTGAGGTGTGGAAGAATTAGGGTATTGTAAACAATTTCCTTGGAAGAAAATGAGAGGTTGTGTGAATATCTAGACAAATAAAATATTCCATGATTCATTTTTGATATTATAAAGTTCACATGTTCTCGGAATGATAGTTATCATTTCCAATCTTCAAATTTCAATTCTTCCAATGAATAACCAAGACTTTCGGTGCGGACTTAGTTTTATATACACTCACCGGCAAAAAAACCGGCCACCAAATAATTTGCCCAAATTTTTCACCCTGCAACTTTTTCAATCCTTATCCGAGTTTTGTGAAATGTCGATCAAATAGTAGATTCATGCTCCGGAATGTTAGCCTAAATACTAGTTTCCGTTAAGAGCAGATGACTTGATCATTATACAGGGAAAATCCAAAGTTACTTCTTCATCCATTACTTGTGAACGCCCTGTGGCGAATTTTAGTAACTTGGCTTCATCATGCTTTGGATTGAAGTGTGATCCCTTCTCAACACAATAGTTTTTGATTCAAGTCAATAATATCTTATTTTTAAGAGAAGATACAAGTGTTTTAAGAAAGTTTGGCATTTTTCAATTTTTACTAACAATAATCAGAACCTACATAATCTTATGATCAACAACTTGAAGATTTGTACCTTATTTTCATAACACTTACCGGAAAAAAACCTTAATTACAAAAAGCAGACATGTAGTCAATAACTAGTATACCCTCCGCAAGTTTGAATCAAAGCATTATATCTTTTCCCAATTCTGGTATTGATTGTTGAGTTGACAATTTTTATTTTTACAGGTTTACTGTCCTAGTGGAGAAAAATGTCCGTTAGCCAATTCAAATGTCCCATGGGCTTTCATGCAAGGAGAAATAGCAACGATATTGGGAGACGATTACAAAGTGAAAAAAGAACGAGAAACCTAGAACTGAGAGATCTAATTCTTGAGGCGAAAACTTGTACTCGATTGATTTCGAGAATCTCTTGGCGGAGAGATGAAATTGTAGAAAATGGGCGAAAGGTTGAAAAAGAGATGTTGGCTTTTAACAGTTTGCCGGGAAGGATTAGAATGTATATTGGAATGAAGAATGGCTGTGTCGAAATAGTAGTTTTGAAGGGGACAACTGGTCCATGAACCCCATGTTATGATTCTATAACTACCAAAATAATTTTGGCTAATATCGCCGAATCAGTAGACGATTGGGTAGAATCGTGAACATCCCGAGGAAAATGAAATTAGTTCATTTTTTGACTTGAGTCGATACAAGATTCAAATTTCTCAATTATTTGCCGCGGATTTTCATTCGATTTTGTGTATTGGACATTTTTGTAAATATTGTACATACTAAAGAATGTACAAAATATATTATTTAAGAAATAAGTTCATATATTTTTGTTCAGATGAAAGCGACTGACACTCGCCAATATTTTGAAAAAATAATCGGTGTTTAGTTGTTTCTTATTTGGAATATTTATTGAGAAGATTATGATTTATTCATACTTTTAAAGGTCTTATTTGAAAAAGCTGTAAATATTGTATATTCATCAGCTGTTGTTGTTTTAACGACATGAGAAGAATCATTCTGATTTAAAAATGCCGTTCTTAGAATATTATTTCATGGTACATTTTGGGCCATTGCTTTTATTTATGGAAAGTAAACTAGTCAAAACGTGAAGTGAATCAACTTCATTTATAGGAACTACAAAACTCGCTGGTAATTTAAGAACGATATTTAAAATTTTTTCATGATAAAATACCTATCTGTCGAATGGTCATTTATCAACTTTACTACTACAAATTTATATCAAATTGTTGGTATTGATGATGAATGTGCTCTTCATCTTGTATATTAGAGACCATATTTAATAATGAAGGTTCTATTACAGTTTGGAATAATTATTGGCGAAGGGAATTTGCAGTCTGTTTGAGGTGTAATGTTTTTGCTAATGATTTTGACAAACAATGAACACCAGACTTTATTGTATAGACCTTGTATATACATTTACATCAAATGAAACTTTGCCACAGAGTAACGACAACAAGAATCTTGAAATACATAGTTTGTTGGAAGTGAAAAAGATATGAATTCATTCATTTTGATAATTCAGTTAAGCAATAATCATATAGTAAAACTGTTTTTCCTCAATAACTTTCCTGGTTTTGAATGGTCAGAAATGAAAATTGGACGACGAATACAAAATAAACTGTATTTTTGGCAGTTGACACAAATTCTCGACACGATACAGGCTGACTGACAAACTTTCCGATTTTGAAAAACAAAAAAGCAAATTAAATGATAAATCAGATACTACAAGGTGACAGCAATTTCTTTTCCATCTTCAAATCTAACGACAGCGATTGTCAACTGTTTTCTTCAAATGGCATTGTATTTTTTCTACTGAATCCAATGATGTATAACAAGTTGACTTTTTGACAAAATTTGTTTAAAACATGTATGGCCCGTTCGACAAGAAAGATCTTTTCATCAAATTTTCTATCAAGGTGGAATCTGTTCCTTATAAACATATACATTATAATATTGAGAAAATGATTTATTGAAAACAAATGACTATCTTAAGAAACTACAAACTAGACAAATTATAATCAATGATCTATTTCTTGACTACGCAGCACGACTAACTAATTTAGCGTAAAAATCAACTTTTCGTATTTCATTGTATTCAGAAAAAAAATTTTAAGAATATGCCATTTGAAAAAATAGTCGACAGTCGCTGTATCACCTTGTAGTCGGATAGTTGATGATGGCCCTATGACACGGGACCAATTTTGTCAGTCAGCCGGTATATATTTTTTAAATTCCTCCTGAAAATGATTTTGGGTTATGATAACTTTGTAACGCAAGTCCGTAAATAATATAAAACAGAAGACAGTGACTTCTAAATATTGAAATTTCATGATTTAGTAAAAATTACCCCAATCTGGAAGTTGACATGAAAAGAGTTACAGGTTGTCAAAGTAAGAATGTTACTTTCAATTTCCTTTGAAGTTTTAATACTTCATGATGTCTTGTCTTGTTAATTTTGTCATTTTAACATTTGATACAATTTGATCTTCGAATCAATTTGTGTGTTGTTTTTAACATTGACACTTTTTTATCCTTTTTGGATGTAAGTTTAGCTGACTCATAATAGTTCGATATCGGGAATCCACTGTTTCTCTGGACTCCATCACTTCATATAAATACACCATCCTGTAGATGATCATTGGGTGAATTAAAACATGTGTTCCATCTATAAAACGTACCTTTTTCCAATTTTGATTATTTGAGGACAGGAATAGGGTAAAAACATGTTGATTTCTTTGATAATTCACCTACAACAACAAGAATAATTATACTAAACCTATCTGAATAGATTAAATCGACCGGTTTTTGAATGTAAAAATATCCCACCCAAGGCCCTTATAATTTATAGATTTCAGCCCCTAATGTTGTCATAATGTAATCAATTGTAACTGAGAGTTTTAAAATTTGTGATAGTGTATGCACAGATGAGGTGTATTGACAATGTCAGATTTGTATATTGTAGCTGTTAATTTGTAAACAACTATAGTTGTTCGAAGCTTGTACAATCTCTGCCGTTAGTTGATGTCAAATGAAATAAAAATATATCTGTGGAATATTGTAATTCCTTTATTTGCCTTTCCTATCCACATGATCCTTAACCACCCAATAATATATACTATACATAAATACCTTCTATAGTTAGCCATCAACATCAAATTATCAGCATTTTAGCGCTCAGCAAAACATTCAATAATGTCCACTTATAAGTCAATGATCATTAATGTCCATTTGTGGAATCAATGGATATTAACGTTCACATACAGACAAAACTAGTCTGGGGCATTGTGAATGAGAGTAACAACAGTATGAGTAGTTAACCTGATGGTACCACAATGGAGTCGCAACCCATTTCATGTTATTTTTCTGTGTGGAGTGATAGTCTGGCCTCACGCAAGGGTATAAACAGGCCTGTGCTGGGACACCCGGACGAACTGCCCTATACAGTTTGATGGATCATACCGCATTGAAAATACCTGAACACCAAATAACAAACTTCTCTATAATATAAAAATTGGCACCTTCAGTAATTTGAAAACGAAATATCGCATAACATATATTATTAACAATAGACTGATGAGTTACTTCATATGATGTTATGAGTGAGTGTTGAATAGGAGGAGCTGAAAAAAAAATGAGTGAATTAGGTGATCTCTGAATTGTTTCGCTTAATTGATGAAATTAGTCAGTACCTCCTTGCTGGATAAAAATCATTATCACCTTTCAACTAGTTGTTGACATAATTATATGTTCAACCTCATTGGGATATTTTCATTTATATAATGGAAGTATGAGAGAAAATCACAGAACATCCACCTGCTATGTTGACATACAGACAGATTACCTACTTGAAATACTTTTCACTTGCTCTTCATCAGCTCTTCTTATTGTTTTTTATTTTCAGATCATTTTATATCAAATACAACAAACTGAGAAGATGAAACTGAATAATTCATAATTTAATAATGTGGTCAATTTGTTACTCTGGAAGAAATATAATTTTCGATTTGAATTCATTGAACCTTGAATCACAAAAAAATGTTTGCCTGATGCGGCGCATTTTTTACCATGCAAAAATGTCTTAGTTTCATGACCCGTCCCATCAGTATACACTGATGAAATGGAGTTGTTATCACTCCAGAAATCTGATTTTTCTTTGACCTTAAACCCAAAAAAAATTCGCCAGACCCCCTTGCTATTCACTGGCCCTCTGGCCTTTGCCGTCCCCCGCCTTTACCATCGATGGTAACGCCACCGCCCTTAGAAGGGTGGACCCCTTGGGATTGGATATATGAACCGTATTCTGAATCGAGCCGGATCTTTATTTTCTAGATCATAAGCACATAAGAATCTGTTGTGATGTTCAGCAGGCAACTTTGCACTCGGAAGAAAAAGCTGAGTTTTCGTGAAATAGCTTTCGCAATGGGTCTCATGAAATAGTATTACTGATTGAAATTCCGAGCATAAATATATATGGACGATGTGGTGGACTTTATATGGGAATGATATCGATGGTACCAGATTTTGTTATCATCAGACATACTGAGTTTGGCTTTTCTAGAGCTCTGAGTGTTGGTGGCTTGAATCCAACCAGGAATTGGTTTCCCAGGCGGTAATTTTAGCAAAATCCTCATTGACAGCATTGGCCTGCCTTCGTAGTTACCTGGGAAATTCAGTGCTAACTGGGATTTCAATGGTATTTAAAGGATTTTTGGATACATACAAATTCCCAGCTCTGTATATCTACCTGAAAACTTGAATTCCACCTACTGAAACGTCAGATAGACGACATGAAATTGTTTCAAATCTGCCTATCCAGAGGAAAAATCGAGATCAATTTCCAAAAGCGGCTTGAAATTTGTCTAATATACATGGTGTAACATGAGTACGTTGAAATATTCGAGTGACGTATTCCTGTGACAAAAAAAGTCTATATAAACCTGTGTCCGAAAATCGTTCGTTTCGAAGATACAGGGTGTTGAAATTGAATTTCTTCGTTTGATTTTCAAATATATTTTGCAAAAAATAAGTTATTTGTACGAAATTTGGTACCGGAAGTTTTTTGATGTGGGAAATCATAATTCCGTATTAATTTTCATGTAACACATCTACAGGGCGCTGCGTACGCTTTCATTATTTATTTCAAATTGCCCTAAAATTTTTTACTGTAATCTTTAGGTACTTTTAATTAAAAAACCTTATTCCCACACGTTTTCCAAGTAAAAAAGGTACACTTCCTCAACAATAACGCTGAAGGTGATCGTTTTCGAGATATTTACAATTTTCTATATCGATGCATGTTACTTAGCTCCTAGGTCGCTAAGTGAAGTTGCTGAGAACAT